AGCAAGAATACAATTTGGTCCCAGCACTTGCCCCCTCTTCTTCTTCCTCCTCTTTCGGGGATGATGAGCACGATATTATATCTGGACCCCGAATATTTGCGCATATTATAGCTAAATATAAAACCTATTAAATGTAGGTCAGCCCATCGAGTGAGGGACATCTGTTAGACAGTCACATAAAGGAACATTGTCACAAAGTAGCTTAATTATACATGTGCGGTGGGGCAGGGTCTTACCAAGGTTTTGTGTTCGCGACCAGAAACGCTCGTAACGACAGCCCAGTTGCCGTTTTGGTCAGACCCAGGTGAGCTGGGCGTAGAAGCGATTTCGGCGGGAGGCGGTCGGCCCTTGGGGTCCACCTCCTTGAAGAGGAGACGCTCGGTCGCATCGCTGCTTGAGTTTTCACCTGGCACAGAGGGTGGAGAATAGGCTCGCATGCCAGTACTCATTATGCGAGACAGCGACGAACGCACACCTGTGCCCCGTCTGGAACTAACAGAGCTTTCTGCTGAAGACCGATCATTGATTGGTAGGATGGTTTGAGGTTTATTGGATACCTGCAACGAGCCGACGACAATTGGACTGAGTAAAGGTAATGGGGGATGCAAAAGACAAAACTAAGGACGGAAACACATCTACATCGTAGCTTTGCAGTCTCTGAAAGGCCTCGCCTACTTAGGTGTCACGTTACTTTCACAGTAATCTTAAGAGGTAACCCCTAAGAGGGTCGGGGTGCATGAGATTAGTCCGCATATAAATTCGGGAAGAATACCAAATGCATGATTGATTAAGTTGACATAATTATCTCTAAGTTTGTACTCATATAATCGTTCCATGAAATACCGGTTTTCATGTGGAACCCTGTTTTTATAAAATGCTAGACAGAGCAGCAATGCAAGTTCAATACTTCTTTTGCCTCAAAATTACAATAAAGAGCTATGACGCGGCTCGGTCAACCTTAAGGAAGAGTTGAATGACCTTAAAACCCACGAAAGAGTAGAAGCTATTGCCGGCAAAAGGAAGAGCCTAGAGTTAAGAATTTATAATATACAGTAGTCGCCGGTTATTAAGAACACGGTTAATAGGCCCAGCCGCCTATTAAGCCCAAATCAGCTTGGGACGGAA